AGTGTATTCTTTTGTTTGTTCATTTACTGTTACTCAAGTACACATAGAGGGCTATAATAGTATCTTTATCTTTTGATTGTAAGATATGTTTAAATTGTTTTTCTTTATCCAAATTCAGGAAATTTGCATTTACACTGTTGATAGTGTGAAACATTGCGTCTCTTTGTTTTGTGTACAATTTACAATGTATTAAATGATGTTCCTCATTTTCAACTTTGTTACAATGGGAGCATAACCTGTCTTCCACTGGTGTTTTTGGTTTTGTATAACGACTTTTTTCGATGGCAAGTTTATGGCAACTTAATCTAAATTGAGCTATTGTTTTGACATGTTGTGGGTTGTTCATCACTTTTATGTATTCTTCGTTCCAAGGAGTCTTTGAATGTCCTATACATGTATGTGCGTAATTTGGCACTTTCCCTTTTGTTGTCTATATTCCATTTGTTAATGAAATATTGTCTAATTGAATTATTTAGTTTTTGTTTTGTGAAATCTGTGACATTGTTTTTGTTGTAAAGTTTCAAGTTTCGTTCTAAGGTAGTCAACCATGCTCCTGTGTAAGTATTATTTTCCATGTCTTTTATAGCATAAAAAGCTAAATTGTCATTGTCTATCGATTTGAGGTTTGTAATAGTTAATTGCTGAGCAGTATATTCTGCTTATCAGTGGCTCTCTTCCCAGTTCCATTCTGCATCCAATTTTGCTCGCTCTGTTGCCAATGTTAAGAATTTGATGACAAAAGCGTAGATGATATTTTTCTGTTGCTGTTTTGTCCCAATTAGTCTGATTTTGGAAAATGCCCCATATCTCACCTGCATATGTTAATATGGGTAGTTGTGTTACATTTAGAAGTTTTTCATTTATCCTTATACTGTTCATGTTTGTTGGATATATGTGTGACTGGATCCTTGCAGCTTTGTAGGTCTTGTCTGCCAGTCTGCCAGTCTGTCTGCAGTAGAGGTTATTGATCAATTGGCCTTAAATGTTACTCCAAGATATGTGTATAATCCTGTAGTTTTTATTTCTTCATTGCCACAGGTTTGCATCCTGAATTCCTGAATATGATCACTTGCGTTTTGTTTGTGTTTACTTGTAGCCCCCAGTCTGAAGTGTATTTATGGAGAAAGTCTATTGCAGTTTGTAATCCTTCATATGATTTTGATAGTAGTGCAATGTCATCGGCGTACAATAGGCTATTGATAGTTTTATTATCCAGTTCTGGTGCATTTGTTTCAATTTCTGTGAGTCCTGTGATAAAGTCATTTATGAAGATGTTGAACAGGGTTGAACTCAGAGGGCGACCTTGCTTAACTCCATTTTTAGTTTTAATGTTTTCGATTTAGTGATCTTCTAAAATATGACCCATTACCCAATCATCGCCCAAGCGATCTTTCAGACAAATTGTTGTTCAAAATGATGGACGATGTAATATTTTGATTTCTATATATTTATTTTCATCAACTTATTAAGCCAATTTTCATACAGTAATCCAGTGCTCTTTTATTGTGAAATGTTCATAAGTCTTGATATACATGTAAGATTAATTTTTATTTGGTAAAACAATAAATGTTATTGATCACATTTGTAGTTATTATTACAATTATTCGTCATTAACTGTTAACTATTATATTGTTTGTTTTTTTCATTGACAACCTTATTATTATTATTTTCTCAGGTCTTAGCGGTAATTGGATAGAGATTGCGTATGGTACAAGTGCTGGTACAGTACGTCTCATAGTACAACACCCTGAAACAGCAGGTCATGGACCTCAGTTGCTGCAAACATTTACAGTACATAGGAGCCCTGTCACCAAAGTTATGTTGTCTGAAAAACATCTTGTATCCGGTGAGTAGAATTCTGGGTAATTATATTTATTTTTTCTTCAAATATTTGAAATAATCTTACTGCGCATTAGCACTAAATTGGGAAACTAATAACAGGTTTTAATATTAATGTAGAGAATAGTATGCATGTCACCACAGTGTTACGTAACACAAGGGAGATAATAAATCCATATCACCACAGTGTGACATAAGACAGAGCTGATCAAAAACCTGTATTTACTACAGTGTCACGTAACATAGGGAAGATCAAAAACCCATATCACCACAGTGTTACATAACATAGGGAAGATCAAAAACCCATATCACCACAGTGTTACGTAACATAGGGCAGATCAAAAA